TCTCTCTCTCTCTCTCTCTCTCTTTCTCCTCCTCCTCATGTTGCATCTTTTATATTTTGTTTTTTCTGCTCCTGCCCTCTATTTTCTTCTGTTTCTGCTCCTGCTCTTGCTATTAGCTTCTCTACTTAGCAGCAACCTGTTGATGCAGTTGTTCAGTTGGTGTAGCTTCTCTCTCTCTCTCTGTATAATTGGTTTACAGTTATGTGAATTGTATTTTATAGTAGGATGCCATTATATTTGTTTGATTATTCATAGATATATGAATATATGTATGAATTGATATATGCCATCAACTTTTATCATTGCTAATTGTTACCGAGAGCAAATACCCTCCAGTATCATGCGAACACAAAAACCCAACCTAACCTTTCGTACCATCTATTTGTTCCATAGATAGGGGGGCAAGCTGCACTGTACCCCTTATTTATTAGCACTTTGTGCTATTTTAGAAAATTGATATTAACAACTCTGAGGGTGTTGAGGACTTGGCCTCTGAGCCAAGGGGCATTTCACTTCGGAAATCCCAAACATCCTACTTGGAAAAACAAAGAAAAAAAAATCAGAAATCTTTAAGGAATACTTGGGAAATCCAGAAATCCTCAAGAATTTTTTTGAAATCTTGAGAATCTGAAAATCTCACAATTGTGCCATTTGCAGTAATCTTTTACAAAATCTTGGTAATACTACTAAAGATGTCTTTAAAAATTGAAAGAGAAAAGTGTCATTAACACCTGAGCATTTAAAGGACAGAGTGCTATGTTGAGACCGCCTCGTGCAAAACCAGGTCACAAATTTTTGATAGAACCTATTGTCTTTGAAAATTGCCTTTTTGTCTGAAATGACAGTTGTAACCTTCAAACCTTTTTTAAAATCAGACAAGTGGATTTATCATTAATCACTGACAGTTTCATAGTTATATACTTTGTGACCTGTGTGCCAAGTTTCAAGTGATTTGACTGACCTTTTGGTATAGATTTTCTATTACCAACTAGTGCTACGGAATCCTTTTTTGGGAAAAAGGCTTTAACAAAATGAAGCAAAAAAATGCATAAGTTACACACTAAGGCTTATGGGCAGCTTGGTTAACCATTTGTATCGATAGAATAGTAGCATAGGATGTTATGAATGTATCCGCAAGGTCAAGTGAGTTTACCTCAATCTCCTAATGTCTATTCATACAATTATTCAGAAACAGGATTTCCCCTTTTAAAATGCTGAAATTTTCAAGTAACTGGATATTTCTGGAAGTGAATTAGTTAAGCGATACATAAAAAGTTAATCCCAAGGTTAAATCAATCAGATTATGACAAAAAACAAAAAATCAAGATTTTTGTCTGAAAGGTTACAGTAACCTTAAGCAGAAGCATGCTTTATGGTAAAGTAGTGCATTTCATACATTTACAATAATTTGAAGACTTTTAAATGTCTTTGGAAATCCAGAAATCCCAGTAAAATTTTTTGGATTTCGGAAATCCTGGAAGTCATGTAAACTACTTCGGGGTCAAATACCCCATGCTGTGAGCAGTGCTGTGCAGCTGACATTTTTTCCATTACTGCTTAAATTATTTCATATATTTTTCCTTATTCTTATCTATAAGATGGCAGTGTCCTTTCCCTCTATCTCCGCGGATCACTCACGGTAAATTACACCTTATCTTTTCCAGGAACACCTTAGAAGGATTTTGCGAGTGGAAGTCCCAAAAATTTTGTGACAATCTAAGGGAATTTTTGAAGAAGAATATGCAGTGGATGAAGTCAATGATTGCACTAAAAAGGCAGTCTTGTCCGGTGTTTTATAATGTAAGTGGAGAGTAGAAGTTAATGAGTTCCATTAGGACATAGAATTGAACATCTTCAAATTAGATCTAAAGTTATGTGATTTTTCTTTTAGTTTGGTTTATTTTTAATTAGTTCAATGTCTTATTTGTGTGACAGATATGACATTTACTTTCATGATATTTACTTCATGCTCCCAACAGATTGACCTCATCCTGACCCAAATGAATGGGGTTGCAGATGGTTACAACAAGACAGGAAAAATTTCCCATTCCAGATGAGGCTATTTTGTAAGTTCATTTTTTTTGTTATAAATTTTGCATTTGTTCATTGATATTTCATGTGACAGGGATGGTTAAAGATCCAGTGCTATTTTCTTTTTTCCTCCTCCACATTCTTTTTCATTATTACATTACCCCTATTCACCTTCACATTTATAATCCAGCTGGTTCTTTTTCTTTATCTTATGTGTGTTTTGTTCTTTTTTTAAGTTGTATGATCTTTATTTTCTGAATTCCCTCAGTCATTTAAAAACTTTTTTATCCATCCTTTTTCTCTTTATTCATCCTCCTCATTTTTCTTGTCTTTCATTTTTACCCCAAGGTGGATGAACCTCTTAGGGGATATCGAGGACCTGGAATCTGCCTTGGATCCTAGCCTGAGCAACATGAGCATTGAAGACTTTGTCAAGTCAGGACGAACCTTAGGCGATGGACACTGCTCTGCTCTTGTCAAAGTGCTGCCAGGCAACACAGACCTCTATGTCTCGCACGTCACCTGGAACACGTAAGGTTTGGGGTTTTGCTTGGGGTGAGAACCTGTTGGAGGTATATTTTTTGTTTTTATTATCATTATCATTTTTAATGATAATGTACTGTATATATTTAGAAGAGAACATATGCTACAGGATTGAGGTAGGAAAGAAGATAAGGGAAAAGTACAAAGACCATTTATTTATTCAGATGTTTTCTTCATTGTCTTTCTTTCTTTTCCTAGAAGACAAGTTTATAAAGAACATAAGGCTCCAAAAGTTATAAATCCACAATAGAAATTTACTAAAATATAATTGAGTTAAAAAAGATGAGCTATATTTATGAGACTTCCTGTGTTCTTTTTTACTTACAATTTTCATGTTATTCCGTTGATTCTATTTTCTTCTTCTCTTGTCATTTCAAAGTTTCCTTTTGTGTTTCTTTTCTCAATGAATTTATTTTTATCTAACTGAATACAAAAAGTATTAACTCTGCTCAACATCAGGTACCAGTCCATGCTAAGAGTCCAGAAAAAGTACATCCTGCCCTTCCGAAGAACAGGATCATCTGACCCCAGTGACACTATCCCCGGCCACACCGTTGCATTCTCATCATACCCAGGAATCCTGTCGTCTGGAGATGACTTCTACGTCCTCTCATCGGGACTTACCAGTCTGGAAACTACCATTGGAAACGGCAACCCAGCACTATGGAAGAATGTCACTGCAACTGGAGAGGTTAGTGGATGTTGTGTTGAGTTTGTTTGGACTTCTTTTCTTATTTCTTGTTTTAAAGAGGTTCCAGAACTGCCTTTTTCTTTTTTCTTTTATCTCCAGTAATGTTTAAAGAGTATGTAGCAAAGCTTTCTCTTGTGATTTTGTCAGGGCAGTTGCTCAATATAAAGTTTGGGTCATAATCCTCTTGCCCATAATAAGTTTCAGAGGAATTTCCCTGTTGTTCACTGAGGGAGCCTTCTTAGTAACAAAGCTGACAAGGGAAAACTGACAGTTGGAAGCCACTCATAAAGTTCATAATAAATTTTTAATTGGCATTACCCATTGTCCCTAGGAACATGTAATGTCTGATGTAGTTTAGTTTTTTGAATTGTATTAACACAGAGTGCTCCACAAATGCTTAGCCACCAAGGAATCAATTAGGGCTGATTTTCCCTCTTCCTTGAGTTTTAGGGATTTTTTTTATCAAATGCTATTAATATTAATACTTTTATTTTTGTTGACATTATGGTTATTATAAAGTTATTATTATTATTAAAGTTATTATTATGTATGTACATCCCATGCCCACTGTTATTTTTGTTTGTCAATTGTGTTTACCCTTAGATGGATCAATGAGTGTTTAGTCACCAAGGAGTCAATTATTACTCTTTATATATTGCACTGTTTTCCCCATTTAATAGATTTTTGGAAATATTCTATACTAATAGTAAAAGAAGAATCAAAAGAAAATGAGAAACAGGTGAAATAGGTAAGAGTAATAATTGACTCCTTGGTGACTAACCATTCATGGAGCCATCTATGTTTAAACACAAAGGATGATTCAAAATAGATTCTGAAAATAACCTTAAAAAGAATATTTCCAAAAATCCATTAAATGGGGAAAACGGTGCAACATATAAAGAGTAATAATTGACTCCGTGGTGACTAAACACTCATTGAGCCATCTAAGTGTAAACACAATTGACAAACAAAAATAACAGTGGGCATGGGATGTACATACATGTCATCCCCAGTGGCAGTGGGTTGCTTTGGTAGTCATTCATTACTTGCTGTATTCATTATGTGCAGAAGTTTAATATATTCTTCTAGAGTTTCAGTTTCCTCTCATTTAGTGCAACTTTAGTTTTTTCATTTCTTAGAATGGGTCAGGAGAGGTCTAGAGATTCCTTCATATTACTTCATATTTGTTTTGCAGTTTTGTTGTTATATCAAATAGGAATACACAAAACATTTCGAAACCTCAGGATATTAGATGGTATCATCTTTGGGAATCTGTTGTCCATTTTATCAATCAAAGTATTACTAATATTTGTGATTATGTTTGTAATCTTACTTCTTCATATTTCCAGTATTACTTTCATAAATTAATATAAAGAATACTTTTTAAAATATTTTAAATCATATACTGCTGTGCAAATCCCCTTTTCAAGCTGCAGAATTTTTGCATGACACTCATTTCTAGCTAATGGAATGGATGCGGACAATTGTTGCCAACCGTTTAGCCACAGATGGAAAGAGTTGGGCCAAGTTCTTCTCCATGCATAATAGTGGGACTTACAACAACCAGTGGATGGTGGTTGACTACAAGCTGTTTTAAACCAAGGAAACACATTAAGTAAGGGAGAAAAGATGGCTGATCATGAAATAATTTGCTTTTAAATATGGGAATGCATTATTTTAATGTTCAACATTAGGTGTACCTTTTTTGCATAGCCTTTCATTAAGTATTGCTTTG